ATTAGGTGTAGAGACACCCCTACGGGCTTAATAACTCGAGTTGAAAAGGCTACGAATCTGAACTAGTCATTTTTCTTATTTTTCCTTAACTGTGCAATGTCCATGTCCCTTAAGCTTTCTAATTAACCCATGTAGCAAGTTTTGGGCCAATGACTCCCAAACCAGGCGGTTTTAGGGCATTAGGTGTAGAGACACCCCTACGGGCTTAATAACTCGAGTTGAAAAGGCTACGAATCCAAACTAGTCATTCTTCTTATTTTTTCTTAACTGTGCAATGTCCAAGTCCCTTAAGTTTTCTAATTAACCCATGTAGCAAGTTTTGGGGCAATGACTCCCAAACCAGACGATTTTAGGGCATTAGGTGTAGAGACACCCCCACAGGCTTAATAACTCGAGTTAAAAAGGCTACGAACCCAAACTAGTCAAGTGGTTTTTTTTTTTTTTCAAAAGAATCTTGGCTCCTCATTTATTCTTTTCTGCAAGTCTAGCTATTATCAATGATGTACACCAGGGATTATAATAAAAAGATCACAGCTATGATAGTGTGTTCATGTGAATTAAGGCATACTCATGACAAGTGTACTAAAACCACAAACATAGACAACTCTCCTCTTGCAAACATGGCATGCAAGTATCTACCCAATAAACTCTTTTCATACAAGTCTACTATGCTCTCTAATTAACATATGCAAATATCATCACTCTACTAGCAAAAAGTCACATCCAGTGAATTAATGCAATCAAGTGAAACATGTATAAGCATGAATTATGAGGCAAATAGAAATGCACAAAAGAAAATATAACCCTCATCCCCCAACTTGAACATGACATTGTCCTCAATGGAAAAGGAAAGAGAAATGAGAGAATATTACCAGAATTGTAGGTGCACATCCAGGTAGGCAGAGAGTAACATATACACACTTCACACTTGGTTGTTGTTGTTGTTGTTTTTTTTTTTTTTTTGTGTGAAGAAAAGAAAGAACTAAAAAGAAAAATAAAAATAAAAATAAAAATAAAAGAGACAAAGCAATATACAGGCCGGTACTACGGAGAAGCCGGTGGTGGTGGTGGTGGGAAATACTGGGCAAACAAGGCTTGCATCAAAGCGCGCGTCTCGAAGGCGTCATCCTGACCCTGTTTCCAGATGGCGAGGTTGTCGGCGTGTAGCTGATCGAAGCGCGCCTGAGAATAGTCGCGATGTGCTTGAAAATCCGTGCGCAACTCCATGAGACTCTGGTGGTGATCACGAAGAGTACGGTGGACCTGATCCACAGAGTGCTGGAGCTGTAAGTACTCCTTGCGAGTCATGTAGAGTGGGTCCCCTTGGGGAGGCACGGGGGGAACAGGATGAGCTAGGTGGTCAGGTACGGGGTCCTGGGGCTCATACCAATCGGCTGAGAGATGCGAGACATGTTGTGCTGCCATTCCCGCTGGCCGAAAGTCGGATATCCTCTATCAATCTCCTCATCCTTAGCAATGAAGAGGTGGTTCAGCTCAAACACAAGTGTCAACAAATTAGCGAATGGTAGTGGCCAAGTCAGGTTCTGCATAGGAGTAGGCCGAACTGCCTCACGTAGAAATTTCTGCAAATGCATCAAAATGAAATGCTCAAGCGGGACCTGATAACCAAGCTGATACCCGTGTAAAACCCGCACAAACTCCAAACGGCGCTCAGCTTGATGCCCAAGTGGAAGGACATTCTTATGGACCACAGAATCAAGGAAAAGCAAGCGGCTATGTAGCTTGCTCCGCCGCAAGCATGTGAAACTGTTGTCACCGTGGGCTCCCGGGAAGTATTGCTGGATGAGGCGATGTATGGGTTGTTAATCCTCAAATTCCGGGAAGGGCTGATATTCTGGTTTGGCAAAAAACTCTAACACTGTGGCAATCATGGCTGAGGTGATGTGGACAACATGACCATCAATGTTAGAGAGCAGTCCAACCGTGGTGGGTGTCTCATGCAGGTTCTGGTAGAATAATCATACCAGATGAGGATAAGTGGGCGCTGTCACAGCGCAAATGCCCAACTGTTACCGTAGTTGGAGCTGTTCAACGGCCCAAGTAGTGTCCTCGTCACGCTGGAAAAATTGTAGGTTGAACTGCGTGAGCTTGTGAGGAGGGCGTGAAGCCCACTCCGGCCGTGGCAAGTCACCTGGTGGTGGTGGCGAGGATGGTGGTGACGGTGGTGGTGGTGGCGCCGAAGAGGAGGTACCCCTGGCCTTTTTGGAGGCCCGATCAGAGACACGACGACTCATATCCTGCACACACCAACAATAAATACAGATACCCGTGAAACCAGCATGAGAATCAAATAAAATATGAAAACACAAATTTGCTTTTTTTTTTTTTGTTTTCTCTTGTTAATTGAAGAGAAGAAAATTAAATAAAACTTCAGAAAATAAAATAAAATAAAAATTAAACTACTTAGAAAGTATATGAACAATGACATCATAGAATAAGATACAAATAAAATCACTAACTACACAAGTATAAGAAAAATAAAAATAAAACCAAATTGCACTAACTAATTAAATTAACTAGAATTACTACGAAGCAATTTAAACTAAACAAATATAACAAATAAAAAAAAAACTAAATTAGAATTAGTGTTAGTACCATTATTTATGAGGTTTTTTTTTTTTGCCCGCACGTGCGCCATAAAGGGCCGCACGTGCGGTGCTCATCTTCCTCCTATGCCGAGTTTGGTTCTGGTTTTTTTTTTTTTTTAAAAAAAAAAAAACTAATAATTTGGTTACAGATTGGGCTGAAGATGAAGGTGACAATGACTTGGACGATGTTTTTGATATGCCAATGGACGATGATCCATACGTATCAAACCATGAATTAAGGTGAGATCTAACTTCTCAGCATATCTTTGTCAAAAAGATTAGACAATCTAGACAAATGTTTTGGTTTATGAGTAGTTACAATATATATCGTGTATTCCAGAGTCTTTGTGGGTACTTGGAATGTTGCTGGAAGATCTCCGGTAGGGAGTTTGGCTGTAGATGTGGATGAATGGCTAAATCTAAAAGACGCAGCTGACATTTATGTTCTTGGGTATGTAAAATTAAGGTCCATAATCTCTTTGTTTGCCTAGATGAATCAAAGAAATGTTATTCAACAGCTGCAAAACTTGTTTTGTTTTTTGCAGTTTTCAAGAGATTGTTCCCTTAATAGCTAAAAATGTAATTGGAGCAGAAGACCCAACAGAAGCAACAAACTGGAACCTGCTGATTGGGAAAACTCTCGAAGACAAATACGGGTGCCCTTGGTTAACACCTCTGTTGAATCCAATAACGAGCGACGATCATCAATATCCTGCAGTTTCTGACACCGAAAGAAGATTAAGTGTTAGCAGCCAAGCTACGACTCCAATAAGAAGTCAGCCAAGGTTCCTACAGAGTAGATACAAGCTCATGGCAAGCAAGAAGATGGTTGGAGTCTTCGTAACAGTGTGGATGAAGAGGGAATTGCTTACGAGGTATTGCGTGTCAAGTGTGAAAGTTTGTTCGGTGGCTTGTGGTATCATGGGTTATTTGGGAAACAAAGGATCAGTTACAGTAAGCATGTCAATTGAAGGAACTAGTTTTTGCTTCGTTGCTGCCCACTTGGCTTCTGGTGAGAAGAAAGGGGATGAAGGGCGAAGGAATTACCAAGTGTCAGAGATTTTTAGGCGAACTTCTTTCCCTCGACTCCCTCAAGACGGCAATAATTTTCATCCTCTCACCATCTTAGGACATGAGTAAGTTTCCCTTCCAACACCTATACGTTATATAAACAAAAATAAGAGCAATTTTTTTTTTTGGTAGATTCTAAATCATTCCATAATATAAAATCAGCGTCCCGCACGTGCGGGGCCCAAGCCGCACATGCGGCTGGTCAACGCACGCCACTCCCCACACTTGCTTATTTAGCAGTGCTCAACATTTGTTTTGCCAATTTTTTTTCCGCACGTGCAGGGCCCAGGTCGCACGTGCGGCGATTCCCCCTTTTTTTTTTTTTTTTCGAAAGGCCCACTAAAAGTATAATCTTCACGCGAAAACCACGGGTACTACTTTTCTCCCTAACTGTGTTTGTAACTTTCCCTATTCTCCAACAGGATGACAGACTAGGTTGATTCGGTATCCAGAATCGAGGCACATAAAGCTACCTCAACCTATGGGGTTGCCATACAAAGTTCAAGCCGAGGTAGTTTTAAAGCAATCTCCACACCCCTGGGTATTTAAACCAGACTCTAGTCTCGGAAATCCCAAACCTTTGTGTTCTAGGCTTGCCATTCGAACTCTAGTTTCCACCGTCTCAGTTGGTCTCCTAGGAACTCACTACAAACACGGTTAGGTGGCTATACCAGACCGCCAGATGCCGTTCGGGCACGGCAAACACCAAAGGAATTACACCTTTAGAGGATTTAAAGTCTCCTAGACGCAATTAAAGCATAACGAGAACAAAGAAAAACATAATAGCATAGAAGGGAAAAAAAAGAGAATAAGAAATCAATCTATCAATCATAGTAAAATGGGTCCATCAAAGCAATGGACTCAATCATATCCCCATTCCTAATCCCCTCTATATATAGTTTCAATCTTTGGCCATTCACTTTGAAAGTGTGGCCAGTTCTTGGATCTCGCATCTCAACGGTGCCCTGACTAAATGCCTCAACAACCTCAAAGGGGTCATCCCATCTTGATCTTAGCTTACCCGGAAAGAGTCTCAATTTTGAATTAAAAAGCCACACTTTTTGGTCAGGTTCAAAAGATTTTCTATTATTGTGCTTGTCATGGAATTCTTTAGTCCGATCTTTAAAAACTCTCGAACTCTCATATGCATCATTCCGGATTTCCTCCAGCTCATTGAGTTGCAATTTTCGGTTGAGCCCAGCCGCGGCCATATCGAAGTTAAACTTCTTTATGGCCCACAATGCTCTGTGCTCAAGTTCAACCGGGAGATGGCAAGCTTTGCCGAACACCGCTTTATATGGTGACATCCCAATGGGTGTCTTATAAGCAGTGCGGTAAGCCCATAACGCATCAATTAACCATTGTGACCAATCTTTCCTATTCGGTCTCACCGTTTTTTCAATTATGTGCTTTACCTTCCTATTTGAGATTTCCACTTGGCCACTAGTTTGAGGGTGGTATGGAGTGCCAACTTTATGAGTGATAGAGTATTTCTTAACTACCGACTCAAAGAACCGGTTACAAAAATGTGTACCCTGATCACTTATTATCGCTCTAGGAAACCCAAAACGACTAAAGATATTTTCATGCAAAAATTTGATTACCACTCTATGATCGTTTGTTCGAGTAGCTATTGCCTCCACCCACTTAGACACATAATCTACTGCCAAGAGAATGTACTCAAACCCGAACGACGACGGGAAAGGGCCCATAAAATCAATTCCCCAAACATCAAATATTTCTACCACAAGAATAGGGGACATTGGCATCATGTCACGCCGAGACATCGAACCCATTTGCTGACAGCGCAAACAAGTTCTACAAAATTGATGGGCATCTTTAAAAATTGTGGGCCAATAAAACCCGCACTGTAAAATCTTGGCGGCCGTTTTATGCCCACTAAAATGACCGCCACATGCAGAAGAATGACAAAATGTAAGAATGCTATGCACCTCACTCTCCGGCACACACCGTCGGATCACTTGGTCGGAGCAATATTTAAACAACTCCGGATCCTCCCAAAAGTAATACCTGACCTGTGAAAAGAATCGGTCTTTGTCTTGCTTAGACCAATTAATAATACCTGGCCTGCGAAAAGAATCGGTCTTTGTCTTGCTTAGACCAATTCTGCGGAATTCGCCCAATGGCCAAGTAATTCACAATATGTGCAAACCACGGGGGGCTCACTTGTGACAGCTCAAAAAGTTGTTCGTCTGGAAACGAATCATACAAAATAAAAGGGTCGCTATTAGACTCAACGAGGATTCAGGAGAGATGATCCGCCACCACATTCTCAGATCATTTCTTATCATGGATCTCTAAATCAAATTCCTGAAGCAACAAAATCCATCTAATCAACCTAGGTTTGGTCTCTTTCTTAGATAGTAAATACTGCAAAGAGGCATGATCAGTGAAGACTATGACCTTGGAACATAGGAGATAAGACCGGAATTTGTCTAAGACAAAGACCACAGCTAGCAACTCTTTCTCGGTAGTAGTGTAGTTTAATTGAGCATCCGAGAGAGTGCGACTAGCATAATATAAAGCAAATGGTGCCTTATTGACCCTTTGGCCCAACACAGCCCCGACAACATAATCGGAAGCATCACACATGATTTCAAAGGGAAGAGACCAATCTGGTGATTTCATGATTGGGGCGATGGTCAAGGCCATTCTTAGTGTTTCAAATGCCTTTAAGCATGCCTCATCAAAGACAAAAGGCGCGTCCTTAACCAGTAAAGTACACAAATGACGTGATATCTTACTAAAGTCTTTGATGAACCTATGGTAAAAACCTGCATGCCCTAAGAAAGACCTAATTTGACGCACGGAATTGGGTGGAGGAAGGCCTGCAATGAGGTCAACCTTAGCCTTGTCAACCTCTATACCTCGAGGGGACACAATGTGTCCCAACACTATACCCTCACGAACCATAAAATGGCTCTTTTCCCAACTCAAGATTAGGTTTGCCTCAGTACATCGTTCTAACACTCTAGTCAAGTTCCTAAGGCATTCCTCAAAAGACGGTCCAAACACCGAAAAGTCATCCATAAAAACCTCTAAGAATTTCTCCACCATGTCGGAGAAAATGGCCATCATACACCGTTGAAAGGTCGCCGGTGCATTACACAGCCCAAAGGGCATGCGCCTGTAAGCAAAAGTGCCAAAAAGGCTCCATCTTCGGCTCTGTCGAGTGACATAACAAAGAGCCACGTCTTGTATTTAAAATAAAACAAGTTTTTGTTAGCCACATTTTGGCTAATTAAAGATAATTCACTATATATAGCATTTTTCAATCATTGTTGTTTTTCAAACCATGTTGTCAAAATTATTTTTTGGTGTGATCCACGAATCCAAAGTGGATGTTGAATCCCAAAACTCACATAATTGAATGTTATGAAAAATTCATAAATTTTGACCCTTTGAACAATGTCAAAAAATTCACATTCAATAAACATGAGTTCATAATTTTCAACCATCTTTGGCTTAAAATTATGTCCCCCAATTTCATAATTTTTCGCCTTCTTTGGCTTGAAATCGTGCCCCTTAAGTGAATTTTTACCATCATTTTGTGATATTTGTTAACATTTTTTTTGAGAGAAATGGTTGTTCTTCATTTTTAACCATTAATGGCTTGTCACTTTTTACCATATTTGGCAAAATATCATGCCCCCAAGTGAACATTTATCATCAGAATTCTTAATATATTTTTAGAGAATGGGTTGTTTTTTAATTTTAGCCATTAATGACCTATGAAAATTTTCCAAAGTCATATTATCTTCATTACTTGGTATGTTGACCATTCGAGTCACATACTTTGACTCTTTATAAATGATTGGCTCTTCAAAAATATATGTATTAATCGTTTGAACTACATTATTTTTATATCTTAATTTTTTATTGACCATTATGCATTCTAATTTTTGTTTTCAATATAAAACTTTTTTATCAATTAGAAAAAAATTAGCCTTGAAATCGATGGATTTTTCCATTGTAGTAATTTAAATATCTTTGCGTCAAATAATACTGAGATGATGAAATTATTTGAAATTTTTGCCTATAAAAATAATTAATTTATTCTTTTAGGACTAAAATTTCACTCTCACACCAATAAATTTCATCCTTATAACAAGGTCTAAATCATCCCTCTTAGGAATTTTTCCCTCACCCTTGCTCTCATTAGGTGAACCACCGTGGTCACCCTTCCTAACTCTAGTTGCATCAGACGCAACTGACTGAGGCTCTAACGTCCTACCATTTCTTAAAGCAACCACCGCCTGCACTTGCTCATGTTGCTTACCATTCTCACCCGAACTCTCTGCCCCGTATTGTCCCTTAGGGTTGGCCACAGTTTGACTTGGTAATTTTTCCTCCTCTCTCCGATTCATGTTGATAGCTATTTGAACCAATTGGGTCTCTATCTTGGCAATAGAGTGAGTGCGGGAGTGAACTATCGGTGCTAACCCCTTAAGTTCTGAGAGAACTTCCAACACCTGAGTCTCAAAGGCAGAGTTGCCTTGAGGAACAGGTAGGGGTTGTGGTTGCCGGTACGGTTGTGGGGGTCGACAAGGTTACGGTGGTCAGTAGGATGATTGGTTGGCAAAATTATTAAAATTCTGCCTTGGTGGTGGAGGATTGTAAGAAGTGCCTTGTGAAGGGGTTCTTCATGAGAAATTAGAGTGATTTCTCCATCCCGGATTGTATGTGTTGGAGTATGGATCATTACCCGGGTTGGAGAATCCTTGAGCCGCATTCACATGCTCTTAGACTAACTCAAGAAATTGTGATGCCGAAGGGCACTCACTCAAGTCATGAGCAGGGCTCGCACAAATAACACATGCCTGGTGAAATTGAGGCTGATCTTGCTTGGTAGGGGCATGTCCCGTAGCTAATAATTGGTCCATCTTGCGAGACAGGGCCTCTACTTGTTGGGCTAACTCTAGGTTTTGCCCGACCTCATAAATGCCCCCTCTTTTCGGGGCTCCAACTACTGGTTGCCGGACTTGTCGGGCTGCGGAAGCATGGTGAAGGGAATTATCACTTAAGTTCTCAAACAATTGCCATGCCTCGGCATCATTTTTAGACATGAATGTCCCACCACAGGATGAACCCA